CTCAATCGGTAAATTCATCTCCGTCTGATCACGTTTAAGTCCTTTTCGTCAGCTTTTGGGGTAAATAAAATAAAACATGACACTCCATAACAGCCGTTGCGCCCTTCGGTCCGACTAGTCTACTCGCTCACCGCATCCCGACAGTCGGCGCTACACTAACTAACACACACATACACACACACACACTGTGAGTTTGCACAGAAAGGGAATGTGCTCAAGCTGGCAAAAGTCTTTAAGGTTTTAAGAAATGGACGGGTTGATCTGAATAATAATTATTCTATTTTATCGCTTCGATGTATATTTTTAATTAAATGTCTGTGCCAGTGTTATTATATATTGTTCAGGTGTAACTTCTTGTCCAGATCCCCGATGTTGCAATAGACGGCGTTATTCCGTGATACCTGTTACTTTTTTCAGCGCAGGTCAAGTTGAACCAATCACATGCGTTGTGATTATCATGGCGATTTTTGTTGAAATATTTTATAGAGATCGCTGGGCAGAATTTTATTCATGTCGGACAGCAATCCTTTCCATTCACAGTGTTTTAACAAGTGTATATATTTTTTGTGTGTAGCCTACAAATATTCCTAATTATTCAAAAGACGTCCTCTCATTGGGAACAATGCCTTCTGAGCAGTCAAGCGCCCCCTGCTTGTTTATTAAAGGGACATTTCTCCCAAAAATGAAACTTTTGTCATCATCACTACTCACCCAGTTGTTCCAAACCTTAATGAGTTTCTTTTTTTCCACCCATAGTATTCTTTTTCTTACTATGGAAGTCAATTAGGCATATAGCCATCAACTGTCTGGTTAGCAGCATTCTTTAAAATATATTATTTTGTGTTCAACAAAAGAAATAAACTCATAGAGGGTTGGAACAACTTAGGGTGAGTTAAAAATACAGAATTTTGGAGATACTATTGGAATTTTCATTTTGGGCCTTTGTTTACAACGTGTACTGGGGGCGTTACCGTGAAATGACTATGCAGAGAACGGGGAGAAATATCGTTTTGTGTTGTGTCGTTGCAAATAGCCTTTTCCTAAAGACATTTTACAGTAGCAACTTGGAGTTGCAAGCATCCTCCATTGTCAACACGATGCTCAAAAATCTTGTAATATTTCTCCAATTTTGAGATCTTTGAGGAAAAGAATGACCATTTTCTGCAAGAGAGATCTAGTGTCATGACTCTTAATATGAAGTCTGTATACTGTAGCAGTTGCAACCAACCAAATTCAACAAAATGCTCAAAGATATAATATTTAGTCAATTTAAAGACCTGTAGAAAGCTTACATAGAAAAGTTAATTACCTCTGTAAATATCAGCACACCTAATATTTACTCTGGCAATTTGGAATAGGACCCATGTTAATCACATGCAAAAGGATTGTGTCATACATTTAGCCTCGTGAGACCATCCTGATCTCGCGAGCTTTCAAGGTTTCACTCGCAGATCAGTCTGGATACTTTCCGTTAAAGAAAATTTGGGAGCAGTTCACCAAACGAACGTCCAATCAGCGTTGGCTTTGAGGCGGGTTGAGGTGTGACGCAACGAGAAGCGCGTCAGTTCAGTCTAAAGAACATGTCGGCTTCAGCGGATGAAACTAGCATCAGCGTGGCTATCGAGCAAGTTTTATCGGAATTACAGAGTATTTCTTCACTGAAAGAAGAGCAAAACACTGCTCTGGAGGCTTTTCTCAGAGGAAAAGATACGCTCTGTTAGTACGTCATATGCTTCGTTGATCTGATTGGTTGATTTGGCCCGTTTATCACCAACATAGGCCAATCAGCTAACCAGTATTTTCGCCCCTTACCAAAACTACTTCAACGGAAGGTTTCCAGATGGATATGCGGAGCAAATCCATCTGGCGGAGTCAGGTTATCATACATTATGGTGACTTGTAATTGTAGAAATTGACTGTTTCTTATTCCTATACCTTACTATTGGCACATTAATCATTTTGACCATGCTTCAATATTCGACGCTTTAGGCACCCTTTAGCGTCAGTTACATGACGCGTTCCTAGGGCGTCATCTTGCTGACGCTTTACCTTTAACGTCAGTTAGATGACGCTATCTAATCCTAACCCTACCCTATGGCAAGCCATTTTAACATTTAACAGCTAGACTGGATATGTGTTGCAGATATCTGTAATTCAGTTTTGCCTAGTCAAAAAGAACATTTCAGATATCCGCAATTACATTCTTCCTATCCATAATTATCATTTCAGATATCCACAAAGACATTCTTCCTAGGACAAATGACATCACTTTTGCCATTCATTTGTATGGGGTTTGTCATTACAGATATCTACAATTCAGTTGCAGATATCCACTATGTGAATTACGGATATCTGCAACTGAATTGTAGATATCTGTAATTCTAGTTTAAGATATCTACAATTTGATTATGACTAGTACTAACTCCAATTCAAGATATCTTTAATTCACCTCAATTCAAGATATCTACATGTTCCTTTTCAGATATCTTAAATTAAGTTTGGACTAGGCGAAAGTATGTTGTAGATATCTGTTACTGGAATTATAACTAGTCAAAATGGCATTGTAGATATCTCAAACTGGAGTTAGGGATAGTCATAATTTAATTGTAGATATCTATTATCAAGTTATAGATATCTTAAAATGAATTTTGATTAGAGATATCTGAAATTTGAGATATCTGTAACTTTCATTCTGCCTAGTCAAAATGTAATTACAGATATCTTGAATTAGAGTTTTGACTAGGCGAAATGAAGTTGCAGATATCTGTATGCAAATTAGGCTCGGCCGCATCCCACTTTAGGCGGGAGCAGAGCGTGTTGTTGTTCAAATCATCAAATCACATAGCACCTGTTAACTGTTCACTTTTAATTAGCACCATGTCGAGGGTGAAGGAGTTTTTAATCGTCTTTTTAATGCTGTTAGCTCATCATGGATTTTTACTGTGGGGAAAAAAAAAAAATCTGAGAACTGTTTTTTCTCATCTAAGGAAGTTCAATCAATCAAATGTTATTGCACTTCCATGGCAAGAATTGCATGCATGTAAGCATCTTCATTAAAGTGAATTAGTGTGAATCTCTCTCAAGCATAAATCTTTCGTCAACAATAATCTACTAATTTTAAGCATGCACTGTAAAAAATTTTCCTGTAAAATAACAGTAAAGAGCTGGCAGCAGAGACGCCAGCAGTATACCGTTATTTTTACGGTATTCACACGTAAAATGACTTTACGGTAGTAGTCTGTAAACCAGAAAAACTGTATATTTCTGTATTTCTATAATTTACAGTAAAGAGCTGGCAGCAAAGACGCCAGCAATATACAGTAATTTTACAGTAGTAGTCTGTAAACCAGAATTACAGTATATTTCTGTAGTCACACTGTTAAATGATTTCACAGTCTAATACAGTAAAAAAATAAATGCAGCATATTTCTGTGATTATTTGGAAATTACAATAATATTGTTTAGGTTGTTACTTTAACTTCTCACAGTATACTGTAGACAGGCACAATAGATAATACAATGTCTATAGGTCTGAGAATAATGAAGTTCATTGCAATCAATATTGAATAAATTAATACATTTAGTTAGTTTCTTAAGATATGCATTATTGTGAATATTATGCAAAATAAGCAATACAAACTTCAAAATCAAAAACCTTTATTTCAAAGAGCAATGTCAATATTAACATGAATACAAAAAATGGAAAAAATGGAAATAAACCCTGTTGGACAACACTGAGAAGAGATTTCTAGTAGCAAACAGAAACAGCCTAGTAGTGTCTGCTTTAGACCATGGCAATTAACTTAAAGACTATTTAAGGAACATTAAAGGAACACTCCAGTTTTTTTGGAAATAGGCTCATTTTCCAACTCCCCCAGAGTTAAACTGTTGAGTTTTACTGTTTTTGAATCCATTCAGCCGATCTCCGGGTCTGGCGGTAGCACTTTTAGCATAGCTTAGCATTGATCATTGAATCTGATTAGACCGTTAGCATCTCTCTCAAAAAAATGACCAAAGAGTTTCGATATTGTTCCTATTTAAAACTTGACTATTCTGTAGTTACATCGTACACTAAGACAGATGGAAAATGAAAAGTTAAGATTCTCTAGGCTGATATGGCTAGGAATCTCTTTCCTGCGTAACAATCAAGGAATTTTGCTGCCATACCATGGGTGAGCAGGCACAATGATATTACGCAGCGCCTGAAAATAGTCCCCAGCTATAACTTCCAACGTGACCGGCACTAAGTTTCAATCGTGGCGTAATATCATTGCACCTATGGTACTGCAGCAAAGTTCCTTGATTGTTACGCAGGAAAGAGAGTATAGTTCCTAGCCATATCGCCCTAGGAAATCACAACTTTCCATTTTCCGTCGGTCTTAGTACACAATGTAATTACAGAAGAGTCAAGTTTTAAATAGGAAAAATATCGAAACTCTTTGGTCATTTTTTTGAGAGAGATGCTAACGGTCTAATCAGATTCAATGATAAATGCTAAGCTATGCTAAAAGTGCTACCGCCAAACCCGGAGATCGGCTGAATGGATTCAAAAACGGTAAAACTCAACTGATTAACTCTAGGGGAGTTGGAAAATGAGCCCATTTCCAAAAAAAGTGGAGTGTTCCTTTAATACCTTTTTGATTACATGAGTAAAAATATTCAGCATCCAAGCATCTTTGGCACTTTTTTGGGGGGGAATCCCACAGGCACATGTTTTTCCTCTAAAAATAGTCCTCTGAGTTAGATTAAAATTTCCTCAAAAGTCAATTTAAAGATTTACATATGTAATCTGCAATGTATTCTCTGCTGTCTGTAAAAATATATACTTACATTATAACATTTTGAACATGCGCAGAATTGGCAACATTTCGAAAACAAACTTAAGAACATTTTGAAAATGTACATTAAGGCCATTTGAAACCATTATAGTACAGTAGAACATTGTGACAATATGCATCATATGCAATGCATACATAAAAACATTTAGGGATGAAACTGTAAGGTAGGCACCTGTGCCACTGCGAGCTAGACTTGCAGGTTAACTCTTAAAATTGTCCTGTGAGGTAGGCTTGTATTTTTACCTCTTAAAAGGGTCCTGGTGAGGTAGGTTTGTATTTTTACCTCTTAAAAGGGTCCTGGTGAGGCAGGCTTGTGTTTTTACCTCTTAAAAGGGTCCTGGTGAGGTAGGTTTGTATTTTTACCTCTTAAAAGGGTCCTGGTGAGGTAGGCTTGTGTTTTTACCTCTTAAAAGGGTCCTGGTGAGGTAGGCTTGTGTTTTTACCTCTTAAAAGGGTCCTGGTGAGGCAGGCTTGTGTTTTTACCTCTTAAAAGGGTCCTGGTGAGGTAGGCTTGTGTTTTTACCTCTTAAAAGGGTCCTGGTGAGGCAGGCTTGTGTTTTTACCTCTTAAAAGGGTCCTGGTGAGGTAGGCTTGTGTTTTTACCTCTTAAAATAGTCCTGTGAGGTAGGCGTGTGTTTATACGTCTTAGTACTTGTGGATCCAGGAGAGATGACCATCACTTTGGTAGCTGCAGCTCCTCTCTGCAGCATTATTCCAGTGTTGCCACTGTCAAACAACAACAAACAATCATTATCATAATAATAAATAAACTGTACTATCAGGAATGTACAGTATCCTGATACACTGCAAGATAATGTTTATAAAGTAATAATATCAGTTATCTTGTCGCTTAATGTGGCAATGCCAGACTGTCAAAACAAAGAGAGTGAGATTAAAGAGCTCACCGATCTATATGAAGTTCCATTCAAAGTCAAGGAGATTCTTCAGTAGCATGGCGACGTGTGTATTGACTGCAGAATACTTCTTCTGGACGATCACACCTTTCTTCTTGGAGACAACCTTGCCCCTTTTGGCCTTGGTCCCTCTCTCTGGATTTATACCAATGAAGCGCCTAAAATCAAAATAGTCTAAGATCAGAGTGGGGTTGCAACAACATACTGTTTTGTGTACATTAAATTAAATGCAATGTATTGGGTTTTTTTCTTCAATGCACAAATAGAGTGGACTTGAATTACGTATAGAAGTGACATCAAATGGAATTATTATAAAGCCTATAGTACAACAAAATACCCTCTGTGTGTGTGTGTGTGTGTGTGTGTTGTGGCTTGAAATGTACAGTACTAATACCATTTTATGCGTGTTGTGGTTTGAAATGTACAGTACTAATACCATTTTATGCAAACAATACAAACACATTAATTTAATTGTATATATCCATATAATGATGACAAGGAATGAAGGGGTTTTACCTCTGAATGAATTCAAGAGTGCAGGCTGCCTCATCTTGATATTGAAGGTTGAATATGTAGTAGATTGCGAACACAGCAGCAAGTCCTGTTGCAAATGTTGGTGTGATGCCCTCAGAGATTACACGGCCCTCTAAGGTGATCATCCAACCTTTAATTGTGACTTGCCCTGTTGCACCTGAAACTTCAAGTCATAGCAACATGAGAATGCATGTTACCTTGTATAAACATTTGTAAACTCCAGATGAATGGCCGCTATGATATATAATGTGTCTATCAATTAATCTAAATGAAATGTATACCAGGCAGTATCAGGCGAGGACTTGCAGGAAGACTGAGAGTTGTCTCAACATCAGCTGCAGTGGCAGCAACCTTTAGGGAACAAATGAATTATGCTTACCATAATAAGATTTTTAAGAAGAAAAATTATAATAAGGTCAATAATTAGTAAACACTAGGTGAGAATAACCTAGAGGCAAATGAGATAGGCTTCTGAAGTACCTACAGTCAAACTGCTAAATAGATTTGGCATTCAAAATTTAAAGGGTAACAATTTTATTTTTTACAGGTCTTGGGGAGTTCTACTGTAAATGTCTAAAAAGTAGTATAAACCCTTTTGTGGTTCCAGAGGAAACTGCACATAATCTGATAAATTGCCTCAAGTGATGTCACTCAGTGGTCAAGTTGCATTGTGGATAATCTAGGCACCAGCTTTTGAAAAGGAAGAAGAATATTTGGAATTAAAAATGTAATATTTCTGTTTCTGCTGTATTGATTTGATCATTTGCTTTTAAAACGTTCAACAGTGTCATAGTAGGGCAAAGAAGACAAGTGAAATACTTTTTAAAACCTTGCACCTACTTTACCCATAATGCAATTTAGCAACTGTGTGACAACATTGAGGTAATTTATCAGCTTACATGCAGCTTCCTCTGAGCCACAAAATAATATACACTCACTACTGTTTTCACATAATGTAGTAGTACTCCCCAAAACTAGTACACAAATTAGGTGTCTGGACACTTAAGACTGGTGGAGTCACCCTTTAAAACACAGGGTTAGAAAGAAAAAATAAAACTTACATCTGTAAGAAGGATCAGCCCGGTTAGGTCCTCTCCAAAGTGTGCCATGAGCAGCTGAACAACACGAAGTGCCATCTCATTATCTTCACCATTAGAGAGGATATCCTTGACATCTTTGTTGGTAGGTTTTCCCCTGAAGTATTCTGTGATGGCTCTTCCACATTCCTCCATACTGAGTTCCAAGCTACGAAGCACATTGATGTCTGTGAGCAACTCAAAATGTGCGTATATATACCTTGGCGTGAAAAGAAAAGGCCATTTGCTTTTCACATCTTCAATGTCAGGTGGTGGAAGTGTATTTATATGGCGACGTTGTAGAGAGAATGTGAGCTCCATTAGATTTTTAACTTCTGCTCTTTCTGCTCCACCTGCACCCTCCTGTCTATAAATCTCCTCCAGTCTCTGGCGGTGCTGCTTCACAGTGTCATCAGTTTCTTCTGGGGGTAGCTCTGGCTGAAATCGTGTACATCCATATGTGTCAGTTGGACCCCTCTTGCCTGTGGAGGATCGGTGGCATGAGAAGCTTCCGTCACGGTTCACATTCTCAATGCGGTTTTTCACTTGAATCAAAAGTGATGTATAACCTCCACACAGAAGTGACCCATCTGGTGCAATATCAGCAAAACTCTTTGGATACTGCCTGATGATATTTCGAACCACAGTTAGGCACTGTGCGCGAGTGGGGTTAGCTTCATACCTTCTCATTTCATCCGCGAGTACTCGTACCATCTGGCGTCGCTCCACTGGTTTAGGTCTCTTGCCATCTGCAATTGCAGAACGAATTTCCTGTGGCATTTGTTCCCAAGGGACCTGGAATGTTTCTGGCCATGTTTTCAGTATCTGAGATGTGGAAGGTCTGTTGCTTGGCTCGCTGTTTCTTGTCTGGCTTGAACATGTTGAAATGGCCGACAGCTGTGATGAGCTAGAATTAGGCGGAGTGCATAATGTTGGTGATGAAGACCCAGACACCGATCGATCACTAGTCGTCAGTGGTGATGAAGTTGGAATGACTTGAAGATCCAATGTAACTGTCTCGGTTTCTAAAAAACAAAAAAACAAAAAGAATTAGGGCACATAACATATAAGCTATATCAGAGTCACTGCAGAGATTTGGCCAAAAGTCTACTTAACTCTCCTTATTAGGCATATTTGAAAAGTTTAAAAGTGCATTATGTAGATTTAGAACAAAGAAATTCCACAACTGCGTAAACAAGAGAATTTGACAAGAGAATGCCACACTAAATTAACCATACATTACCTAATTTGAATGCATCCAGGAGTTTTCTGCGCTGGATAACAGGTAACAGATCAGCAATGTCTTCCTGTTGTACATATTTTAAGTCTTCTTTTGACTCCAAGCCGGAGCTCTGAAGTTTCGATACTATTTGCAACTGGGTCTCTTCAGACAGATTTGGCAAGGTCTTGCAGATTATCTCTTTGATCTCTTCACTCATGTTCGCCATCATTCTGGACTAGAGGGAAAGAATGGTGAAGAATGATCAGTGGTGTACCATGGAAAGTGTACTCAGGCAAGGGATAGTAATCTAGCAGATTCTCCTGATTAATACAACAGTAGCTTCTCTGCATCAGTGTGAGGCTGTAAACACCCATGTCAGGAATACGCAGGGCATGATACTTTTCAGCAATAAAATATACTGCTGAATCCTTATGAACGAGAATCACTTTGATTTTTCCAGTTACAAGCCCCTCATCATCATCATCAATCACAATGAGCATGTTCTTTTTGTATTTTGTCCCCTTCACAGTCACTTCATTGGCTATCAGAGTGTTTGTGGACTCAAAATTGTGATGTGCAACTGCTTCTATGATTACATCATTGTAGTCATCTGAGAAAAACTGTGTGCCCCTCTCCACTGAAACACCTGGAGGGAAGAAGGTGCCAGCACTCAGAAAGGCCTGCAGAAGCTGATGTCTCTCTGCAAGAGTAGAACATGGATTCTTAAAGTTGCGCAATTTTCTCATACACTGTTTAAAATAGGTGTGTTTGCTCTCGAATCTTAAAGTCCATAGGCGAATAAGTGGCCCAAAGTGGATAATGAGCTCAGGATAATGACTGACATAATGATGTTTGGGCTTCAGTGGGTTGTCAGGAAAGGTTTGTATTCGGCAATGCAAATATTCTTCAATCAGAACTCTTAGGTAGGCTATCTGGCCATTTGAAATTGCAGGTGCACAAATGAGGTCCACAACTTCTCTAAGTTGCAAAACCAACTGCCATACTTTGTTGTCACCTGGGTTTTTTACTTTGTCTCCGATCAAAACGGGCAACATTCTCAGCAAACACCAATTCTGCACAGCATGTCCCCCAAGTTTTACACCCTCTGGATTAACCTCACACGGTTTGTCATTAGCATCCCTACCGAGATACTTGAACTGATTTATTCGTCGATTCAACTCAAGATAGTTAAACATTTTATCCACCTTAACAAGATGGTTAATGTACAGTGCCAGATCAGAGGATACAATACCTTCAAAAAGATCGTGGCCAAGACATGGAGGCAACCCTGGCTGACATACATGGAAGTATTTGAGCGTATTGAACACAGAGTCAAATTTAACACCTCCACTAGATGTAGACTGTCCTTCACTGCTCTGAACATGACCACTGTATGACTGCACTGTGCGTTTTGTGCCCTGGATAAGAGGATCTGCATGGAATGCTTCTCTGCTGATATCACAATATCTGCAGAAGTGTGAACTCCTGCTGAAGTTCTCCACAAAGCCTCCTATGTTATGTGAGCCTAGGTTGTCGCCTGCAATGGCACACAAAGTTCCCTTGTAGACCTTTCCATCAGACAGGGTAACACCATTGAGCTCAAGATCTTTAAGGTCATTGACGAGGGTGCCCATAACCAAGTCTTGACCAAAATACTTAAAATCGTGTTCTTTACAGAGAAGAACAAGTTGCATTTGATCAGTGCTGGATCTGTTGTGTGGCATTAAATCTGCAAGAGTTAGATACACTGCAAGTATCTTGTGTTTTTTCTTTCCAGATCCCAGTGGGTTTACCACTTCAAATGCATCCTGATACAGGATCAAGCTCAGTGATGAGCTCTCCGTCTGGAAGAGAACATTCTCAGCCATATTTTTGCCATCCCACACATCCTTAAGAATATCCTTAGAACCAATACTGGAGTGTACTTGCTTATATTGTTCCTGCACTGATTTGCAATGGAATAGAGAATCAATTGTCTGTTTAATAGGAACATACTGGGCAAAACACTCTTTGCCTGCCTCATTCTGACCTAGACAGATCTGAACTGGCTCAACATAGTTGAAGCTGTTCTTGAAAACTGTTTTTCTTTTCTGATCAGTTTTCAGTGGCTGAGTGTTGCAGGTCCTAAAGAGATCCTCAGTTTTAATGACTTCAATCACATTGTTTGTGTCAGGTTCAGAAATCCCAAGTGTAACCAACTTCTCTTTTAGTTTGAAAAGCAAATGTGACTGACTTATATCATGTACTTCCTGAAAATCTTCAATAATTGTTTGGATGACAGAGGATGGAAGCAAACACTTTGCTTGCAATTTCAAATAAAAAAGGGCTAAATTTTTAAAGAACTGTGATTCATCAGCAATTTCTGGGTAAATCTCTTGTTCATCATCTGCATCACTAGGAGGCTCAATCTGCATATCAGACTGATCTTGTTCACTCTCATGGGAAACACCAGGATTCACAACGGACTCAACCAAATTTTCCTCAGCACCATTTTTATGTTTCCGACTCATGTGTGATGTGAATGTTGATAAAACTGTAAAGCTCTTGCTACAGTGTCTATAAGGACAAGCAACTGTTTTCCCCTCTCTAATGTGTGTTTTCAAATGAGAGTAAAATGCAGTCAAAGTCTCACACCTTGCACTGCAGATATTAACATGACATGTTAGTTCAACACCAGACAAAGTAGGCCTAACTACACGTTTGTTATGTCTGTAAGTGTGACACTTAAACGTTGAAAAGTTTTTAAAATTCTGACTGCAATCTGGCAAAACACACTTAAAAGTTAAATTAGGTGTATTTTTATGAATTCTCATGTGCCTTACGTATGTCACTATTGTGGCACAGTTATGACAACAGATCTGACATGGGAACATTTTGTTACTGCCTGATTAGTCTTGATTACGGCTGGCTGCTTTTTAGTGACACCGTATCAGTCTTCACGGAGAAATGTTTAATCTTAACCGAGTTGCAATGTTAAGATTGTGAAAGAAAAGCCACAGATGATGCTAAACGGTTTGAGAAAGCTAAAACAGTTGGGAGATGTAGTCTGTGTGGAGACACGCAGCAACAGATAAACCAAATGCATTCACAAAGAGTCCAGAAAGGCAATATTTTCACATTAATTTTCCGTTTAAACAGAAAAATGCAAAGCCTTGAGGATTCAAGTGTCTCTCTTTAACCGATCTAGCTTAATTTTCTTATTAGATGTTTGTAAAACACACTAGGCTACATTAAAAGTCGACACAAAATAAATCTCACCAAAACCATCTCGGTTATAGCCGATGTTCCAATAATCGTATGGTCTGGTTGAAATAAATCCTTAATCACCGGGCATCAATGTAGGCTAATTATTCCAGTACAATGATATTTTCCTGCTGCCTCCATCTGCCGATTGCCTCTTACCGATTAACGTGTTGTTCCTCGGATGCAAACGTTCGGCTAATGTTACCAAAATTAAACAAAAAAAAAAAAAACACCCAAAAATATTGTCATTCAATCTAGCCCTCACTGATAAATGACATGTT